CGGCCCCAGAAAGGGAATCTTGGGGAAAAGTCATAGTGAAGGGCAAGTAGAAAGAAAAGATGGCCGACGACCATACGTATATCGACAATAGAGAAAGGAAGAATGGTCCGGGAAAAAAGTAGGACGAATCAGAAATCCCATCTTGAAAATCCTTTAGGAATCACGTCATCCCTCGGGAAGCAGGAGACGTTAACCAGGAGCTGTGACCCATCGGAAGCCACGAGTGTTTTTGTTTGCCAGGGACGATTTGCATGTGAAAGTGCCGCATAAATTGGACCGTTGAAAGAAGCAAGTCTTCGCATTAGGACGAGAGTAAATATAAGTATTTTTCTCAAATATAAGGCCTAGGTTCGAATTTCGCTGTTCGTAATACAAGAATTTTTAAAAATAATTTTACAAAAATCAGAGACGTGGATACCATTGTCAAAGTATCTCGTGATACTGACGTCACGAAAATGACGATGAAAATCCTCGAGGAAATTTCGTTTGGCGAAACGAGCTACTTGAAACAATTGGACCGCTTTGCAGATTCCAAATGGCAGTTTTACTTAGCACAGTTGTCTATCTGATGGGCAAAGTGGTATATATAGTAGTATATATAGTGGTATATATAGTGGTATATATAGTGGTATATATAGCCCGTGGTAGCGACGCCACTTGGGACTGTAACCACATTTTTGCATTATGATGCAATTTAGTAGAATCCAACTTTCTTCAAGGTGAAGTCGCCTTAGGTTAGGTTAACTCAGAGTCCAGTTAAGATTCCAGTTAGCCAGGCTGCTGAGGCTGCGGAAGATCCGGGTTGGCACCTGAGCCAGTCATTAATGATATTTATTTCCGGTAAACGTTGCACCGACTTTAGCAATAATGGACGCTGCAAATTCTGATTAGATTGACTACAAAGCTAATGAAGTTCTTGGTGCAGCATGCTTGAGCATCGAATAGGGACGATTCAATGAGATTTAATTAATTTATCAAAGTTCGTGTCAATAATGACTTTGCTAATTATTGATAAAAAGATTATTAAACAATTACTCAAGTATCGATTTCCAATAATACACTGGTCCATAGTAAATTTAGATAGACGATTAATATTGTCCAAATATGTTATCGGCTGGACCAGAATGGAAGTTCACATATCCCAAACACAGTGGGAGGGGATATACTTTGGGGGATTAGATGATTAAATGATTCCAATAGAAATGTCATTCGATTTCAATTGAATCCAAATTGTAACTGCTCGTTTTCATTATACGAATTGGTCGTTCACGTCGCTCTATGAGAATCAGGTAACAGACAATGGTGATTATAAGTTAGCGCCAGACAGAAATAAAATGATTGACTAAAAATATCAATGAAAATGTATTGAGCATCATCCACAAATTCTTACCAGATAATCTGACCTAATAATCTGCCTCAGTCAGAAGCATTTCGAAAAAAGTTTAAAGAAGAAAAAAAACATGGAGCCTTGTTTAATTATATTTTTTCTTTTCTCGAATTCTCAACTTTCGCGATATTCCCCAAGGAATCGAATTTTCCATAAAAGATAACTCAAGCTCCAGTGGAAACACTCGCTAACAAGCAGGCCATTTGTCTTTCTCGTTAGAGACCTTGTCCGACTGGAAGACGCAAGATAAATAATTCGCAGTAATCATTTCGTTAGTCAAAAAAGGTTTCGCATGGTTTTTTTTACAGAATTTTGATATGAGAACAAAAGTCAATAAAGTCTTTTCGCAATTGTCAAACGTGGACCGGGTATTCTTAACCGAAATGGATTTTCAAACTTGCCACCTTCGGACTTCAATAATCCTGAGCTCTGGTTATGATCTAAGCGTCTAAGCGTAGGTTGGGAATTGATGCTGCAAATTAGCTAAGAGAAGCCTCTACGTAATGAATTTGTTGTCCAATTAAGAGGAAGGCTAATTAAATTTAGCCAAGCTGACGATATGATTGGTTTGGTAAGACTAAAAGAAATCAGCAAAAAGATCTTTAACGTTACATTTGATCTTCGGAAAGTCAAAGACGTTTGGCTGTAATCGATTTTGATATTTTTATTGAATTTTTTTTTTTTTCATATCGCCAACAGTTTTTGGAGTAATTTCAAGGTACTGCCCCCCCCCCCCCCCTTTTTTTTTTTT